TTCTGGCTGTCTTAATGATCGGATAAGACACAACTACAGCTGTACCTTTAGAGGAACCATCTGTGAAAACGACTCGCCCCTTAGAAATAGGCCGAGGGACCACAATTTTTGGGAAAAAAGCAAAGGATGCATTTTAAAAAAGGAAACCAAATTGTTGGTTGGGTAATGATTCTCTCTGGGTAACAGAGAGAAAAATGGCCCAGTCACAGTTATTATTTTGCAGCCATTCTATTTGTTAACAGGACAAAGGTGTAATAACCTTATCTGGCTCCTTACCAAGGGTTAGTAAGGCAAACTTTTGTGTTTTAAACAGGATCGCAACTATAGCTTGGGGGTGGGACAGCACAGATTTAGAAGGGGAGGCTCGAGAATGAACACAAAGAATGGGACTCTTTTGCCAAAAAACTCCCATAGGAGCATGAGCAGAACAAAACACTAACAATTTTAGAGGCTGTGCATAGTCTATATAATCCAAACGAGCCCCTCCTAAGGCTTTTCCAATCAAATGAATACACTCCTGTCCTGCTGTAGTGAGGACTCTGAGAGAGTTGGGATCTGAATCCCCTTGTCCTAGATAATGATATGGAAACTTCTTCTGTACCTTCTCTGGTGCTAATTGTAAGCCAGCCAACCCTAAGCTGGTCTGAAGATCCCCAAAGGCAGATAGTAATAGCTTTTTCTTTGGGCCATAGCCAACAGTAAATTGTCCATATGATTAATTATATATAATTGAGGATATTTTTGTCTGACTGGCTCTATAGCCTGAGAAACATAAATTTGACACATGGGAGGGCTGTCAGCTATGCCTTGGGGCAAAACTACCCACTGATATCTCTTATAAGGCTCTCTTAAGTTCAAAGAAGGAACACTGAAAGCAAATGCTGACAATCAGCAAGGTGTAAAGGAATATTAAAAAACAATCCTTTAAAGCTATCACAAGCAGGTGCCAGTCTTTAGGGATGTCCACAGGGGTTGGCAGCCCTGTCTGGGTGGCACCCATGAGCATCATGGTCTTATTAACCAGTCTCAGGTCTCATAACAGCCTCCACTTACCTGATTTTTTCTTAATAACCAATATGAGGGTATTCCAGGGAGAGGTCTTTCCAATGCCTTTGCCTGGGCAATAGCCTTGCTCCTTAAGCATGTGTTATACAGGGGATGTGGTCAGTATGGGCCCCATGGCCTTTAAGATATCTCTGCCCCAGAGATTGATCAGGATGTGAGGCAAGATAAAAGGGCTGAAATATATCAGAGTGTCCCTCGTCATCTTTCCAAGTTAATAGATGGGAACTTTTACTAGGTGCCCTGTAAGCTGCTATCTGATCCTTGCAGGGGCCAAGCCTGGGGCCAGTGGTTAAGAAAAATGACGGATGTGTCTTTACCCGAATCTATGAGTCTCTGAAAGGTCTGTCCCTCAATAGTTAGGGTCATCATTGGTCTGGACTCCATAGTGGACACCCAACAAGCCATAGGTCCTGTAGATCCAAACCCTCCTTCTCCTCTTATAGGCTTAAGGAAAAGATTATTAGTTGTAAATTTAGGGGACAAAACTAGTTGAACAATTCTAGCTCCTTGGGGTATAACAGTGACTCCCTTGCTAGCTTCCACCAGTATTTTGATCTCTCCTTCTGTATCTTCATCAATAACTCCCGGAATGACTCTAACTCCCTTAAGTAGAGCACTACTCCTTCCTAAAATCAACCCAATTGAGCCCAGTGGTAAAGGGCCCTTGACTCCCATGTGCAAAGCTTGGGGTACCATCTGAGGAGTCAAAACTGCTCTGGTGGTGGAACAGAGGTCCAGTCCTGCACTACCTGGGATACCTCTGACAAGGTCCTGGATACAAAGGGGTTCCTCTGAGGTAGGACCTGAATAGGGCAGGGAACAGGTGTATCCAGGGCTCTGTACACCTGGGAGTAAGGGGTCCGGAGCAGGCCCCCGACTCCTGTTTCCCAAAGATGGCAGAGGGTAGCCCTGTGCAACAGTTTTAGATCGACAATTTCTAGCCCAATGATATCCTCTTTTACAGAGGGGGCAAAGACCTGGCTCTGAGCGAGGGGGTGCAACAGAGTCCTTAGCAGGACAATTTTTCTGAAAGTGGCCTGTTTGCTTGCATCCAAAGCATGTCTTAGGTCTGGCCCCCTCATTGATCTTTCTATTTCCCTGCATAGCAGCAGCAATAACTTGTCTCATAATGTGATATTCATCTTTATCTCTACAAATGCGAATATAATCATTGAGGCTCCTGGTTTTGTGAGGCCGTAAAGCCTCCTTACAGTATTTATTAGCATTTTCAAAAGCTAATTGTCTTAGTAAAGGCATAGCATTATCTGCATCCCCAAATATATGACCTGCAAGTTGTAGGAGCCGGTCCACAAACTCAGAATAGGGTTCAGATGGTCCCTGTAGGATCTTAGAAAGTTGGTCTCTTGTGGCCTTATGAGGCAAGGCTTTCCATGCTCTGACAGCGGCTGCTGAGATCTGTGTATAAACAGCTGGATCGTAAAGAATTTGCCGGCCTAGAGTTGTATAGGCTCCTGTGCCGGTAAGCATTTCTAAATTCCTATCAGGAAAACTGGCAGCCGCATTGCTCCGAGTTGTCTGGTTACTCAGTTCTTGGCATGCATCCCTCCAGATCAAATAATCTCCCCCAAACAATCTAGTACAACAAATTGTTGCCAATCACTGGGGATACAATTTAAGGCTGAAAAGGATTCAAAGACGGCCAGAGTGAAAGGGGCATGAGGCCCATATGCCATAACTGCCTCCTTCAACTGTTTTATATCCTTAAAGTTAAGAGGGGAGTGTTCTCTCTGATTCTGGCCTTGAGGATTAACTGTCTCTACAACTGGAAACATCACTCTGCCCTTCTGCATTTCAGGAGGGGCTGAAGGAAGACAGAGAGAACTGGAATGTTCAGGATTACAAGCAGGGGGTGTGGCTCACGGGAGCATTTTTTAAATTTGGTTTTTAATTTTAGGACACCTTTCTCCATCTCATCCCCCGAAGAAAAGGGAGAGGCCTCAGAAGGGGAAGCACTGGAAGCTTGAATTGTTCTGACACATTCCAGGTCTTGACCCTCTGTGAAGGCATCCTTAGTCTTCCTGACCTGCTCCTTTATTACCGCATTACCACTAATAAGCGCACCCTTAACAAAACGCCACAGAGAAAAGACAATTGATATGGCGTTTGGTCCTTCGTTATATGAAGTTCTTTGTAGGTCCACTCTAACCTGGTTCCAATCAAGGGAATTAAGATCACTAGAGACCAAAAACCAAGGGCTGACTTTATGTATAGTTTTTAAGAAGTCCTTAGCTGCCTTATGTCTGATATCTGGGCCTAACTTTTTAAATCACCCCTCTATGGGGGCTGACCCACCATCTGGGGTCTAACTCGGTACCCTAAACTTGGTACCCCTATCCAAATTCACCCTCCTACCTTACTTGTTGGCCAGCATTCGAATTTAATTCTTTAGAAGTTCCTCTTCTTTTCCGATCTCGGTGGGACCTCCATCTATAACGAGCCGCTGGTGTGTTTGTGGCTTTGGACCTACCATACTTCACAACGATCCAATGCTAAGGGCTAAGCATGAAAATAAAGACAAAGACAGCGGCTCATTCTTACAAGGAGAATGGTGTTTATTTTAACAAGAGTAGAACCTTATATATCAAAGGCAGGCATGGTGGGAAAAAAGTTCAGAAGCCTACGTTCCCAGGGCCCTCCAAAAAAGGGTGGGCCAAAAACAGGAATTAGCATTCAGACAATAAACAGGACCTTGCATGCAGGCCTTACTGGGAGGAGGGGATGAGAAGTGTTTTGCTAAAAGCCCCTAGTAACAAGCAGTCAACAGACCCCATGGGGAAAGGGTGCCACAGCTTTGGCTGATCTGGAACTCACTCTGTAGACCAGGCTGGCCTTGAACTCAGAGATCTGTCTGCCTCTGCCTCCTGAGTGCTGGAATTAAAGGTGGCTGCCACCACCACCACCTCCACCCCCCCCCCCCACCACCACCACCACCACCTGCCAGTATTATCCTTAAGCCATGTGGGTCTAGGGATCGAACTCAGGGCTTGACGTTTTACATCAAGTATCTTGGCCCACTAAGCCATTTTGCCTAGCCAGTTTGAACTTTTAAAGAAAATATTCGCCATTTAGTGGTGGTCCACACCTTTAATCCCAGCACTCCAGAGACAGGTAGGCCAATCTCTGTGAGTTCAAGGCCAGCCTGGTCTACAGATCAAGTTCCAGGATAGCCTCCAAAGCTACACAGAGAAACCCTGACATGAAAAACAAGCTAAATAAAACAGAATTTGAGTGTGTGAAAACATTCTGGAGCATGCTTTGTGCCGTGCGCGGGAGCAGGAAGGCAATGTGGGGGTTGGGACTGTACTGCATTGTCTGTTCTCAGGGGCCCCTTCTTCCTCTGATGGGGTTTGCTCATGGGGGCTTTTGTGGGTAACAGCCTTCTTCAGCCACAAAAACACAGATGAGCAGAGTCCCACATGCTTAAATGTGTAATCATCCAACTTTTTTTTTTTTTTTTTTTTTTTGGTTTTACGAGACAGGGTTTCTCTGTATTATTTTGGAGGCTGTCGGACCAGTCTGGCCTTGAACTCACAGAGATCCGCCTGCCTCTGCCTCCCGAGTGCTGGGATTAAAGGCATGCACCACTGCCGCCGGGCCATCCAACCTTCTAATATCTTTTCTTGGTATTGATTCCAGCTACACTGAAATTGTATCGTGTGAGATTGGGATTGGATTCTGTGTGATGTAAGGAGGCATGACAGTGTACACACAGACATTTGGATGGACATCTTTCTCATAGTGAACAGTTTTAGTGACTTAAATTGTATAGTGACATATTTGCAAATGGTTCATTTAAAAGAATTATGTAGGCAAGTTTTGGTGTTTTAAGTTTATTTTTAGCTTGAATGTTTATTTGAAATAGCCCTCAAGTATTTGTATTATATGTTTTCATTTTTCTTCCTGTCACTTTCCAGCATTACTTAGAGCCTCCAGTGAAGCTGAGTGAAGCTCTAGAGAGATATGGACTGAAAAGTGAAGATTTCTTTGTCCTGAAGCACGGAGAATCAAGATACGTGAATACTGATGATAAAGCTTTTGAAGAAACATGAAAATGGGAATTTTCAGTGAAAACAAATGAGAAGACTAAGAAACTCACGAATACCATGACATTTTTCATGTAGAAACTACTTCTGAGCGTGTGCTCTGCTTTGTATTATAACTTGCCAATGATAAGACTCACTTATATAAACTGTGAGAGTCCAGGGAGGGTTATTTAAGGAATTGTCCAATGCAGACTTAAAAAAAAAACACATACCAATGATACAAACATTGCAATATGTTATTTTTTTTATCAAAACATTACATTTTAGTGGTAGTAGAATTTCTGAGGTGATGAAAAGCTGACATTAAGATTTCATTTCTTCTGTTATTCAGGGCTTTCTACAAAGGAGTCAAGCACTTAGCTTTTCAGACACACCTTTCTTATGTTCATATTGTCATGATAAACGTGACTTCCGCATGCTGAGGGAATGTTTCAGTTTTTGTGGTCAGGATTTGCTGCTGGTCACTGTAATGCATGTCTACAATCCCAGCACTTAGAAGATGAGGCAGATAGATCACAAGTTCAAGACCAAACCGAGCGACAAGGAAGATCCTGTCTCAGGAAGAAACATTAACTTATATGCCAAATGTTAAGTGATTTATTTTGTTAAGCATAAGAACGTAGGTGTTTGACCTAAATTATCATTTAAAATTTTTTATTGTTGTCAAATGTACATTGCATAAAATTATTTTAACTAGAGTGAAAAGAAGTTCCTTGGCATTAAGTATTCAAATTCGTGTACATCAACGAATATCTTTAACTTTAATTTCTAGAGGGCAGCATCTATCCTGAGGCATGCCCAAGTTAAAAGCTGATGGGCGGAGAAGAGAACGGTGTGGTTCTGAGATGAAGGGGAAGTTTAAATTAAGCCAGACACTGCTGGGCACAATTGTAACTACAGTGGAGTGTCTCATATATCCTAAATGCGAATACCTCATGTGCTTGGAATTAGATTTTATTTTCTTCATTTTCCATTTTCTGTGTACACACACACACACACACACACACACACACACACACACACACACACATTTTTCCTGTTCTCTCTGAACTCTAACCCCAAATATATCAGTAAGATTTGTAAGTATGTTTTACATAACTTGGATGTGTTATATATTTTTATATTAAATGGCCTGTCAGCACAATTGTACCTTTTAGTAAGCCGTTGTGAAATTACAGTAGTTTTTTGAACTTCTGGGTGTCTGCTGACCAGAAGGCATACTGTCTTGGGCCAGTATGCCTCTGCATCCATAGGTTTGACATGAACCTTCAGGAAGTGGTTTGCCCAGGTATTAGTGAGGTTGTGCTCTGCTTCTGACTCAGGCCAATGAAATTAACTTTCTTGGCACAAAACACAGTAGGTTTTCTATATATATGTCAAATATTATATAGGGGTACTCAATACTTTGATATATTTGCATGGATATATGTATGCCACACTTTGGCCTCCCATTGGAATTTCATCCTTCAGTCATGGATTTGATTACCCCAAAACAAGTGACCTATGTTCAGACCCCATCTCATGATGTATGACAAGAAGACAATGTTAATCTACCTCCAGTGGGGAGAATAATATATATATATATATATTTTTTTTCTTTTTAAGAGCACTTTAGAAATCTAAGGGAGAAAACTTAAGACAGGACTGTCTGAATTGGACAGGCACAGAGAAAGCTTTTGGTAATGCACTGGTTCTGTTGGAAACACCAAACTGGAGACTGACTTTAGAGGGTAATAGCCAATATAAATGATCATCAGAATTTGGTATTTTTGTATACAGTGTCTTTACCAGTCAAGGGGAAATGTGTGTGGTAACATTGTGCGCATAGTAAATGTAACTTGGAGGCATTAAAGCGCAGATGGCATTTGGAGTCCGCATGAGTAATCTCCCCACTGCAGACGCATGTGACTCCGACAGTAAGGCTGTACAGTGGCCAGCCGTGGGGACACCCCTGTAGTCATCCCGTCATACAGAAAAATTCTTACTCAAGAAGCATTTGATGAATTTGCTCAAGTATTTCTCCATGAATGGCCTCGACACTGCTTTTGTATGCACAGGTACTGTTGGAGGCTCTCTAGGTGCTTTGCATTCTAGTCCATTGAACTGGACCTGCCTCCTGTTTCTAGGCTTCCTCAGGATTTGTTTGTTTCATTCCGTTTCCACAGAAGTTCCATTCATTGTGAAGTACACCATAAATCTCTTTAACACAACCACCCTGTTTTCACTTTATTTTTCTAATGTATATTTCAAAGGATGTATGTGTAAAGTGAATAAATTTTGAAAAATCTATTCTCTTTTGTCAGTCTAACGTTGTAAATACTATCTAGTCGATCTTCTAGGTGAATTTCATATTACTCTTTGGTCAGTATTATCACTGAGACCCTTTGAGGCTGGGTCCTTCTTTGGTACGCTATACCCTGCATAAGAGAAATCTATTTGTGTGTTTCACTGTAAGTTGTTCCTGGGTAGCTACGTGATTCCCACTCAGCCTGTTGATACTCCAGAGTCAGCTCCTGGCACACACGGCCTTTCAGACTGACGGAGGAGGCGAAGACTAGGAGCACCTAGACCCAGCATTGCAAAAGCACACTGCAAACTCTGGCTCCTGCACAACTTTCTAACGCTTACTTCTACTAAACAGGCAGATTTGAAAACATTGTGAAGGAATGTGCCTTTTGGAGGATACCTTGAATGTTGTGTCACCAGCAAGTTAGTGTTGTGAACCGTCATGGCTTGGTGCTACTCCAGCACCCTGCAGACTTCTACTCTCACCTTAAACATCTTCCTGTTCAAGCCGATGTCTTTCTTTTTCAGGTTGAGGGTTTGTGACTCATGCTGACACTCAGTACTCTAGTACCTACATCTTTACAAATGCATTTTCAAGTTCTCTCTCTCTCTCTCTCTCTCTCTCTCTCTCTCTCTCTCTCTCTCTCTCTCTCTCTCTCTCTCTCTCTCTCTCTCTCTCTCTCTCATACATAAAGAGTGATGCTTCTGTTTGCCCACAGCTCTAAGCACAGGCAGAATGGACTCACATACTGTAGAACCTGGCTGAATTCAAAGACCTTGAACATATACTCCCTGGGATATGAATGTTTGAAAAGATAGCTGAAAATGTTTGTAGGGGCTTAGGAATGGCTGCAGCTAAAAGCAATGTTCTTGTAGAGGATTTGGTTCAGTTCCCAGTGCCCACAGGGTGGTTTATAACCATCTACTGCTCTAGCTCCAATGTGCTCATGCATAAATGCAGGCAAAACTCAAATAAAAATTTAAAAATTATATAATTTCAGTCATGAAAATTAGGAAAATAATTTTCAATGGGGGAAGTCATTTTGTACACCTTTGCATTTTTTATTTTTATTAAAAAATTATACAATTTATACTCAGTAAAAAATTCAAACAGCAGAAATGGGTACACATAGAAAATCCAATGTACCCACCTCCCAGTCCTATGCCCAGAAGTTTATGTATCATTCTAGAAGTCTGTCCATGTATAAATGTATTTCTTATTGTACATTGTTTTACAGCATGCTTTTAGAAACCTAAATTTCTTAGGCCTGAGTACAGTCAGACTCACTCGGGTCCATCTCTTTTAAAGTGTGGCTGCTTAGTTTATCAGCTGCCTGTGGGTGAAAACTTGGATTTCCTGTGAGTGGAAATACAGTTTTACTGATCAGAAATGATGAGGGATTCTGAAGATGAGCAAATGGACTGATGGTTGGGGGGTTGGCAGGAGGGCTTGAGCTTGGGTTATCACTGTGCTGAGGTACAAGGCTTCTGTGGCAGTTTTAGTCTTCATGGTCTTCCACTCAGCACCTAAGGCTCATGAGCAGCTGAACATCCAGGAGTGAGGATTGTACAGAGAAAGGCCACTCATTCCATGTGAGGCAACCATTAAAATCTCAGTAGGCATCTGCACTGCAATCTCTCATACTCATCTGATACCAGCAAAATCATTCAAAATAAACCTGAAGAGCAAATCAGTCCATGGACCTAGCTACACGTTTGTCCCAGAAGTGAGCCACAAGCTCTGAATGTCCAGGCTGGAGGATTTTGTAGACTGCTGATCACACCTAATCCTCAGACCCCAAATCTGTTGAGTGTCATGCTGGGTTACAGCTGCTCACCCTGAACTGTGTCAAATAATAGGACTTTTAATGTTTGACTCCATCAGCTAAAAAACCCTTTAAAGGACGGTAGACAGTAAGCTGCTGTGTATTATTGAGGGAAAGCAGGAGCAACCAATCAGAACTTTGGCATTATTGCTAAAGCCTTCTCCTTCACAGCCACATCATGGTGGCAAACCAAAGCCCTCACTTTCTGGGCACAGTCTTCTCCATACAGCAGGGAGAACAATGACCCTTTGTCGAAGGGTGGCTGGCCAGCTGGGCAGCCCTCTCTGAGGCAGTTGTTTATATTCTGAAACAGGGTGAGTGCCCGAAGAAGAATCTCATTTGCTATTTGGCCATCAAAAAGGGAAAGAAATGTAGAATCCACCTGGAAGAGGAAATACCGAGTGCCATTTTTATAGAACAGCATTGACTGGTTTACATTTATAAGTCTGACCACAGGCAAGCAACCTCAACTGCTAACTTACTTAGACCAGTACAATCTTTATCCCCATGTCACAAATGAAAACGAGGTTTTGTCTGTTAGCTAAAAAGTAAGATTTCTTTGGAACCCTGGAGTGCAGACATTTGGAAAACCAACCGTTTTAGGATCCATCCAGCTTTTGTAAGAACTCATTAGTTCAACCAGTATTACTGCCCGTACATAGTACGGAGAACGGGGCTGAGTGGATCGGCATATTTCTGCATATGGGGAATTCCAGGCACCTCTGCACCACTCTGACTTGCGTCAGAGCATGGGGACAGTTTTCAAAGATCTCATTGGTACAGGTTTGTGTCTCCTAAGTTCCATGAGAACGCCTGTTTGGGCACTCTGCCTGCGCACATCCGGGCAGGTCAACACTGTGGTCTCAGCACATGCTGAGGTACATGTGCTTAAAACAAACCAAATTTAAAAATGCAATGATACTGTATACTGCAAATGAAGCAGAGATGGAAAATTCACTGTTGATACAGAGAACTTTTAAAGACGGTTTTAAAGGTACAATATGCTTGCTTCAGTAAACAAATTCATATATATGAGGAATAACAAGCTAATATCTTAGCACTACTCCGCAGAGATAGTACCTACGAATGTTTTGGGGCATACTTTCCTAGATGTACTTGTCACAATCTATGTATGTGTGCATTTACAAACTTACCTGAGCACGCAGCAGTCCGTCTGTCATGGCTGGGTTCTCAGACAAGTTCACAAGCAGCTTCAAAACCTGAACCTGCCGTCAGAAGGCTGGGTTTACTGGATCAGCAGGCTTCCCTCTAGGATGCTGCCCTCTCACTCCCTGGCACCCCATAAACTACTGTCTGCACCTCTAAGCCTGGCTCCAATTCTCTCCGTTAAGTCCCTGCTCAGCTCTGACCCTCGGCACCACTTTGAGAGCAGTTACCCTGATCAGTGACATCTATGCCTCACTTCTGTTTCAACTGCTGGGGAGCCAGGATGAACAAAGCAAATGTCTTGCAATACCATACGTCTGGTTTGTGTTAAATCACCTCCCTTCCCCATGTTTGTGCACGACGGGGCCAGAGGCTGAGGTCAGTGGTTTCCTTGATTGTACTTCATGTTAGACATGAACCCAGAACTCACCAATTGGGCTAGTGTGGTCAGCTTGTTCCGGGGATCCCATCTCACCCCCATGCTGGGATTACAGGCAGGCCATCCACCCAGCTTTTACATGGGTACTGGGATCTGAACTTTTGATCTCATGCTTGCACAATGAACCATCCCCCCAGCTCTTAAGTCACCTTTATTATGAGTCCTGGTAAGGAGAATTTGATCTTTGAACAACAGAAATCTCAAAGCTTAGTTTATTTCTCATGAAAGTTATCAACATTCTGTAAGTTTGCTCATCATGATTAGATACTAGGATCCTTTCCTTCTACAAGGTTATCTTTTTAAAAAGTGAGAAATGTTTTATGATCATTTAAATGGGAAATGGTAGTAAAGTAACTTAACAGCTAATTAAAATGCTAGCATTCTTACTACTTATTTCTGAAAATCAATAATTAAATAGACTGTCTTGAAATGTTTAGACTTATTTATTGTGTTTCTGTGTATAAATGTTTTTTGCCTATATGTGTGTATATGTACCATGCATGTGTGTGCAGTACTTGCAGAGGTCAGAAGGGGGCACTGGAACTTGAGTTACCAATGGCTATGTAGTTGCTTGGTACCAAACTTGGGTCCTCTGTAAGAGCAGCACATGCTCTTAAGTGCTCAGCATCTATCTCTCCAGCCCCAGGAGGTCTCTTTAAAAAACACCAACCCACACTTTCCACAAGACTGTTGAATTAAAGTGAGGAGAAGGATGAGGGTACTAAAGCCAGAAAAAAATGATTCCACTTTTCACTAGATCTAGGGAGGAACCTCAATGTGCAGTTTTAGAACTTTTAAGCAGAACAACAGATACTGACGTTAGAACTTTGGGGGGAAAAATAAAAAAAAAAAAAGAACTTTGGGGGAGAGGGTGATGGGGATTAAATCTGGGCACCCTGGGCCAGACAAACACTACCTCGAGGTCTACCTTAGCCAGAAAACAGTTCTAAATACAGGAAAATAAAGGGAAGTTTCCATACCATACTGTATGCTTGCAATTCCTTTGTTTACGTGTGAACCTACTTAATAAGGCGGTGATGAAATTGCTTAACCTCATTTTTATTATCTACATTCTTGTCAGGTGTGGAGGTGTACTCAGGAGGCAGAGATCTGCCTGAATTAGAGGCCAGCCTGCTCTACAGAGCAAGTTCCAAGGCAGTCAGGGCTATAAAGAGAAACCCCATCTCTAAAAGCCACCCCTCCAAAAAAGTTTAAAAAATTTATAAAATGAATATATTGTCATGATCAAATATCAAGCAGTGCAGAAGGGAACAAAGTGAAAACAAAAGCCTATGCTGGTGGCCTGAAAAGTGGAGATGTTCTGCAGGAACATGCTTTTCAGACAAGTGTTTTTAGGAAAATGATGACTGTTAAAAGTAAGAAAGCAAGCATGACCTCTGAGCCTTTAGTTCACTCCGAGACCTACTGTGGGACCTCAGCTGGCCTGATGCTGCCGACAACACCAATAACAGGTCTAAGGAGTAAAGTCCCTGGCTGTAAGTCAGGAAGCTGAGAGCAGGGTAGCAGCAATGAAAGCTGTGCAACAGGTCGCGTGAACAAACCATTTTGTTAAGAGGATAATGGAGCGCTGGGGACACATTGCAGTTTAAAGTGTATGCCTGGGTTCCATCTTCAGCAGGGCATTAAAACCAGGCAAGGTAGTGCACATCTGTCACCCCAGCACTCAAGTAGTGCACATCTGTAATCCCAGCACTCAAGTAGTGCACATCTGTAATCCCAGCACTCAAGTAGTGCACATCTGTAATCCCAGCTCTCAAGGTGTGCACATCTGTAATCCCAGCTCTCAAGGTGTGCACATCTGTCATCCCAGCACTCAAGGTGTGCACATCTGTCATCCCAGCACTCAAGGTGTGCACATCTGTCATCCCAGCACTCAAGGTGTGCACATCTGTAATCCCAGCTCTCAAGGTAGTGCACATCTGTCATCCCAGCTCTCAAGTAGTGCACATCTGTAATCCCAGCTCTCAAGGTAGTGCACATCTGTAATCCCAGCACTCAAGGTAGTGCACATCTGTAATCCCAGCTCTCAGGGTGTGCACATCTGTAATCCCAGCACTCAAGTAGTGCACATCTGTAATCCCAGCACTCAAGTAGTGCACATCTGTAATCCCAGCTCTCAGGGTGTGCACATCTGTAATCCCAGCTCTCAAGGTGTGCACATCTGTAATCCCAGCACTCAAGTAGTGCACACCTGTCATCCCAGCACTCAGAAGGTGAAGGGTAGATGAGAATCCAAGGTCACCCTCTGCTACACAGTGAGACCCAAGTAAACCGAGGATACATGAAATGATATATCAAAAATAAATACATAAATAAAGGGCCATGAAAAGATTCAGCAGGTATGGCATGTGTGCAAACCTGGGGACCTGAGTTAGAGTCCCTAAACCCATGTAAAGGAGGAAAGAGAAAAATCCCTCTGAACCCCCATATGCTTCATCACACGTATACACGTATGCATGCATGCACACCGCCACGTGAAAACTTTTTTAAAGGGGTCTGGCAAAAGGCTTGCCACCAAGCCTGAAAACCAAAGTCCAGTCACGGAGACCCACAGATTGGAAGGAAAACTGACGCCTGCAAATTGGGTATGTACACTGTATGTGGCACATGAGCTCCTCCCTCATAAATAACTGTCATGATGACAGACTGTCTGTGACATGAAAACAGAAAGGGACACTGCGAGGAGAAAGATAAGCAGGGCAAGCAGGGCTGAGGAGGAGTGTGTAGTCTGAATGTAACTGACCCCCATAAGCCCACAGGGAGTGGCACTATTAGGAGGTGTGGCTTTGCTGGAGGAAGTGCGTCACTGTGGGGCAGGCCTTGGGGTTTGCTATGCTAGGATACTGTCCAGTGTCCGCATCTACTTCCCACTGCCTTCGGGTGGAGACACAGCCAGCACCAGCACTGCCTGCACACTGCCATGCTCCCGTCATGATCAGGCAACATATTAACCACTTGAGGCAGCCCCCAGCCCATCAAATCGCTCACAGAACACTGTCTTCCAGGCCCCTACTCGTGTGCCCATTAAGGCAGCCCCCAGCCCATCAAACCGCTCACAGAACACTGTCTTCCAGGCTCCTACTCGTGTGCCCATTAAGCAGTGCTTAGGGCATCCCACCGCCTCCCTAACCAAAGCACCAAAGTGCAAACAAAACAGGGTCGAGCCTATCACAGCAGTCTCTAACTTCTGCCTCCCGAGTGCTGTTATGTACAGTTTTTGTGACTCCTTGTCTTAGTTAGGGTTTCTACTGCTGTCAAGAGATGCCATGACCATGACAACTCTTATAAAGGAAAACATTTAACTGAGGTGGCTCGCGTTAGGGTTTCTATTGCTGTGAGGTGACCATGGCAACTCTTAGAAAGAAAACATTTAATTGACGTGGCTCGCATTAGGGTTTCTACTGCTGTGAGGTGACCATGGCAACTCTTAGAAAGGAAACATTTAACTGAGGTGGCAGCTTATAGCTTCAGAGGTGCAGTCCATTATCATCGTGAGACAAGGCCATACCCACTCCAACAAAAAACTTGGGAGGCAGAGGTAGGCAGATCTCTGTGAGTTCGAGGCCAGCCTGGTATACAGGGCGAGTTCCAGGATAGCCAGGACAGTTTCACTGAGAAACCCTGTCTCAAAAAACAAACAACAGCCCTCCCCCACCAAAAAACCCCCTTAAAAACCAAAACCTAAAACAACAAAACTATCCATAAGAAATGAAACAATGAAACCCATTACTTTGTATACTAATTAAAGACTGGTCAAAGATTGAGGTAAAAGATTCAACTTATTGTCCCTATTTCTCAGAGCTCTTTTACCCAGTGTTCCTATTTCTGGTTAAAGGGCGCTAGTATCTCAGTAAAGCCTGATTCTACTGATTGTCAGAAAATCAGACGGCTACCCATCTGAGGCAAGTGACCCAGCACATGGTCTCCGCACAGTGGCTCTGCAATTCAGTGTGAGGAGATAAAGGCCATGCTTTCCTGGGCTTCTGTAAGTATTGTTCATAAACTTTGAGTGAACTATCTTTTTTCTTTTTGATACAGGGTTTCTTTACGTGGTCTTGCCTGTTGGAATTTGCCATACAGATCAGGTTGGTGTGAAGTCACACAGATCTACCTGCCTCTGACTCTCAATGCTGAGATTTAAGGTAGCACTATCTTTTTAGAGGGAAATCTCAGGGAAGAAATAGATGGTCTGCAATTTCAATCTTTCTTTTTCCTTACCAGAACTCATCCTGTAGACTCGGCAGAACTCATAGAACTCTGACTGCCTCTACACCCGAGTATTGGGACTGAAGGTTGTGCTACCATGAACGGACTGGAGATTCAATCTCAGTACGTCTGATGCAACAGCTCTTCAACCTTCAGTACTGATGGCTGCATCCCCTACCTTGGTGCTTCCGTTTCCAATAAGTGACAGGTGGAGCAGGCCGGTGATGTAGCTGCTGAGTAGATGCTGGTAGTCATTGGTGACAGTCATATTTGTGAGCAACCTCAGGCCAGCCAGCTGCACAGCAGAGTTCAGGGGATCTGCAAAAACATCCTCACAGACTTGCCTGACGTATACCTGAAGGCAAGAGAGAAAGACAACACCTCAGACTCTCCAGAAGCTTCTAATGGCTACTTTTCTTCACACTAGAGTAGACCTCGGAGTGAACTGGTTCTTCACAACTGAGGACATTAATGTCTAGCCCTCCAACTCAGGTGAAGATTTTAGCCAAGCTACCTTTATTAATGACCTGGCATTGTGCTGAGAATCAAAAGCCAGCAGATCAGAATTAAATTAGCTCAAGACTGTTCTTTACTTATGTAGATGCATGTATGTCAATCTCCATACTACTATCCACTTCCTCCGGTGAAACGAAGCACCGGTAGTACGCGACTTCATGCATCAGTTTCTAGACGGGAAGAAGTATTACTAAATCTGAATGCCATCAAAGATTATAAACCTGTACGAAAATGTCCCTGATCTGAAGTTCTAAGAAATGATCAACTAACCACCCAATATACCTTTATTAAGTTTGTGAGAAATGCCAAATGTATCCACGCCTTCACAGATGTGGCAATCAATGTAACAACATGGAAGCAGAGACCATATTTCTAAGTTCTACACGACTCCTGCACACCATCCGCTACACTGTGTCTTTAGACAGGAGCCCTGGGCACTTGACTAGGACAATGGACTCACCAGCTGCTCATCTTCAACTTTCACTCACTTTTCTGTGGATTTGGTTTTCACCTCACTGACTTTAGTGGGACTTTCTCAGATCAAAAGTGCCATCCCGTACCACACAACAGTTTAAAAGCAGCGTTGCATCCACTTGGTTTCTTAGTTACTGAGTCTTTCTGCTGGGATGTATTTCTTGATTCTTGCTTCATTATTTTAGCATCCCTGAATTAAGCTGAGCCCAACCACAAAAGCCTAAGAGACAAATAGCTCTGGCTCAGTTTCTCTTTCTTTAAAGGTAGTTGTTAGCTGTAAAGTTATGAGCACACTCTGCTGGTTTCACTACTCACCATTATTATTTCAGGCAACTTACCTTTACCTTGACTTGATTCTCAACATTCACACTGAGGTTATTTAGTGCATTTAACGCTTTCTCTTTAATACTGTGATTCAGAGAGTTGATTTTGTTTCCAATGATTGGGATACCACCCAGTTCACGAATAATGGCCTGAGAGAGAGGGAATAAATGAACCATGACTTCAATATGCCGAATCCCATGCATCTTGAAACACAACTAAAATCAATCACTTTAGAGAAATGCTATTCATGTAAACAAACCTGACTGTTGGAAAATTTTATTATTATTTAAAAAACTGTGTGAATGTGTGTGTCTATGTGTGCATACAGAGGGAAACCTCAGTTTCATTCCTCAAAATGCCATTCACTTTTTTTTTTTTTTTTGGAGACAGTTCTTTCACTGGCTGGGACTCAACAAGTGTAGAGATGTAATATTCTGAAATATCTTATATTTTTAGACCAGAATTTTTGTTGGACCTCATAGCCAAATTTAGTAATAAACCTTGAAGTTACTTAAGATTGCTAGCCTACAGTGTACTCAAACTGTTTGTTTTACCTGCCTTTAAGAGAATAATGTAACTCCCAACCTGGCCTTGGATTTCCCATGCAATCAACTTTTACAACTTAAACTAATGTACAGCAGTGTTGACTTACATATTCTTTCTTGCCTTTGAACCAGAATAATGCATGTGCATCATTTGCTGAGAGCAGCAAACACAGACGTTGGAAGTGACTGTTATGGATACTGGTTGAGAAGCTTCTTATTATGTGGGTCAGTACTTCTGTTAAAGGCTTCTGTAAAGTGTTCCAACCGTCCCCACTGACGGTTTCCATGTTCTTTGTGGTGGTCTGAATGAAAATGGCTCTTAGGCCGGGCGGTGGTAGCGCACACCTTTAATCCCAGCACTCAGGAGACAGAGGCAGGCGGATCTCTGTGAGTTCGAGGCCAGACTGGACCGACAGCCTCCAAAACAATACAGAGAAAAAAAATGGCTCTTAAAAGCCCGTAGGGAGAGGCGCTATTAGGAGCCGGGGCCTTGTTGGAGGAAGTGCATCACTGGGGTGGGCTTTGAGGTTTCAGTGCTCAAGCCTGGCCCAGTGTCATCCTTTCTCTGCTGCCTGCTGATCCAGATGTAGAATTCTCAGCTAGTGCTCCTGCACGCCTGCCTGCATGCTGACATACTTCCCACCAGCACAATAATAGACTGAACATCTGAACTGTAAGCCAGGCCCAATTAAATGTTTTCCTTTATAAGAGTTGCCCTGGTTACGGTGTCTCTTCCCAGCAACAGAAACGCTGTTCAGTAAATAGTGAGGCCAGTTACATCACTCAGACACACACAGGGACAGGGACAGGCTCAGGGGCATGTAATAGACAGAGGAAAAGAAACACGGAGATAAAGTAGAGTGCACTCACTGTTGGCTAAGTGACTCTAAGGGGAAGGGCTTTTTTTTTATTTCCTCCAAGTGGCACAGACGCACTCCTGGTGATCTGGAGTCCATCACTAATGTGTATAATCAGTGCGACCAAACAGACGAGGCTGGCTGGCCAGGGAACCTCAGCTATCATCTTTTGTCCCCGCCTTGCCAGTGCTGGGATTACAAGCGTGTGCCACACCTGGCTTTTGGTTTTTCTAGTTTGAGTTCTGGGGATTGAACTCAGGTCACCACGCTTGTAAGGTAAAAGCACTTTCCCTACTGAGCTGTGTCCTCAGCCCTAAGCTTACATTTCTTTCTTTCTTTTCATCATTTACTTACTTTATTTTTCACATGTGTGTGGGGTGCACACTCATGCATGTGGGAGCATGTTCATAAATGTGAGCCAGAGGCCAACCCTGAGTACTGTTTCTCAGCAGCTGGCTTTTGAGACAGGGTCTCTCGTTACCATCGGGCTTGTTGATTAGGCTCCACTTAGGGCCTCCCTGTCACTGCTTCCCCAGTGCTGACTACGCACATGTGGCACCATGCCTGTATGTTTTGATATATGCATGTGTTGTGAAATCCACTTTAAATACCTATTTCCTCAAACATGTATCACTTTTTAGTTGTAAAACATTCAAAATTCTTTTTTTTTTAAGCTAAAAATAAGTTTGCATCGATGACAATGTTAACAAGAAGCACTGTTGGAAAAAAACAAAAATCCAAACTGTTTTTACTTGTTTTCTGTGGGGGAAGGAGAAAAGAAACATTCGCATTAAACTCTTTAATCTTAGCCCTTTACACTGATTTGGTGGTTATCGCTCGCCGAGGGACCACCTACATCAAGACCACTCTAGCAATGTTGGTTATCCAATTCAACACATACGCATTATGTGCTTTTACTATTTTATGGAAGCTTTACTTTTTGTTGAATAGGAACTATTACGAATATGATGCTAGTGTCTAGCTTTTCAGAAATTACTTCCTGTGTCATTATTTGGCTGTGATTTTCTGAAGCAAAAAAAGCAAATAATGTGAGCACAAGTATCCACACGAGGGTGTGGAGGCTCTGAGAGTTAAGTACCCAGCGTCGTAACTACTAAAGTGTGTAAGAAGGGGAGACTTACTTGATTAGTGGAGAAAGCTGCATTATTTCCCAGGGTGACCAAGGCTTTTTCAACAATTATAGGATCATCAGTTGACTCCAGCAAGTAGAGAAGTTTCCCAAGTTGTTCTGCATTTAAGACCTCATCATAGGAACTATCGGTTAAGTCTTCTGCATAAGAAGAAAGCCATTTAAAATTCATTAAAAAATTCAATGAGGTGTGTGTTTTTCTTTTGTTCCTAATGTTTGAAAAGTTCAAACACAAACTCTGGGGCTAGGCACAGTTACCTGCTTTGTTTCACATTTGAAAGAAAGCATCAGAGCAGGCAAGCAGGCGTTTTGTAAACCCTGGCATCTGCTGGCAGGAGGGGGATGAGAGGGAAGGGGAAGAGACAGGTCATAGCTGCAGGAACGCAGGCTGTTGCAGCAGCGGAGGCTGTCAAGTGGAAGAGGAAGGGAACGACTTAAGGATCGAGAGAGTGCAGTGTGGGGTTAGGCATGCTGAGGCTTTTGGCCAGAGTCAAAAGCGATGAAAAAGAAAAGTTAAGCCTTTTCTCAGTGGGCGGCCCAAATGTCAGAGGTCTGTAGATGGCTGCCTGGAGTTGCTAGTTTTAACGGCTTTACATGCTTTGTATCACTTGACTCTCAGGGATTCCTAGGAGAAAGATACTGTTACTATTCTGAACTTATGTAGGAAACAAAGGCTCATAGCCATTAAGTATCAGCCAGCGGCCACATAACACATGGTTGTTAGTAAGGCATTGCATGTAACTAACACCCTGATGTCGACAGCATTTGGTCTCCTACTTTAAACATCAGGCATAGAATCCGATGGGACTTTTGCCTAAAGAGCATTGGTTAACAAGTTTGTAGTAAGGAGATAAGGACAGGGCCGAATCTCCTTTTAAGAGTCCATCAGTTAGGAAGCCTATGGAAATGGCACAATCCTGCTTCCAGTGAGGGACGTTCTGTGTGGTATATCAACATACAGCCCCCTGGTGGATAGACTGCTAGTTTTAGGAGTTAGTATAGAGCTTAGATAGAAGACACTACTCAGTGCATCTGTGTAGAATTCTATTTTACAATTTCTCTTCCTGCTTCTAATGTTCAGTTAATTCTCTGGTACTTTTGGGACTCATTGTAGTCATTTGGAAATTAGAATTTTTCTATAACTTTGCTTCCTTTGTAATACTTAATTAGATGGCAGGGACTTAGGACAGTGCTAAACAGCTGTGACAGCATGGCTCTTATTCTTGAACTTAGTAAAGAAACAACTAATGTTTTAATATTAAATACCTTTAATTAAAGTATCTCTGCCTTTGTTTTCTGATGAGTATTCTTCATCAATTTAAGAACATTTCCTTATATTCCTAATGCTGCAAGTTATCAGAAATACCATTTTAATGACTTTAATACATTACTATGTAGTTTAAAAATATATTAATGCAATACCTAGCATATACTCCTATGAATTCTCCTCATATGTCCATCTGGCCTCGGGATATCATTTCCTCAACCCTCTGACAGAGTTTCTTTATTCATGATTGAGTTAGGTTTATCCTGTCTTTGTCAGGTTCTTATGTCAAGCTGGACAATTTGATACTGTTCCCATCTTTTCTAATGCCCTTAAAGAGTCTTAGTTGAGGAATTACACTTTTTTTGGAGACAGGTGTTCACATGTAGCCTAGACCTGAGTTGATTCTTAATTGTCCTACCCCAGCCTCTTAAGTGATGGGATTACAGCTGCACAACTCCATCCTGCGCTAGACTGACAAAATCTCCTACCAAGGATTACACATTTTCCAAAAGTTTAAGACAAAGATTTCTCTTCAAATATAAGGGTAGAACTTTGGGAAGGGTCTGTTCATTCCCAGAACAAAGTGTGGTGGCTCATGCTGCCAAGCCCAGCAACCAGGAGATGGAGAAAGGAGGATCCGTTTTCTGCTACACAGGGAGTTGCAGGACAGGACACATCAGACCTTCTACCTTAAGAAAACAAAACATGCCAGCTGGTGGTGGATCGTGCCATTAATCCCAGAACTCTGGAGGCAGAGGTAGGTGGACCTGGTCTACAGAGCGAGTTTTAGGACTTACTAGGGTTACACAAAGAAACCCTATCTCCAGAAACCAAAACCAACAAAAACCATTCTTGTATAGAAATATCTGGCAGAGAAAGAGACAACAATCCAGTCTTTCTAAAGGCAAATACTCATCTTCAAAAACTGTTTTCCTCCTGACAAGAGGGAAAGAGAGGCGTTGCGAGCCCCCTTTTCTTATAGCGTTTCCTGAAGGAAACAGAAGGTGGGAATATAAATCCATGGTTGGTCCTGGTCCCTGCGTCTAAGTGTAAATTCTGAAAAGTAAATGCCAGTTTTTTTCATTCCATTCACCCAAAGATGTGTTTCATTTCATTTTATATTTTTTTTCTCCAGACACCTGGAATTCTCTGTAGACCAGGTTTCCTCGAACTCACAGAGATCTACTTGCCTCCCTCTGGGATTAAAGGCTTACACAACCAGTGCCCAGCAAAGATGGTTTTCTACCTGCTGACAGCTCCCAGTCAACTTGAGATGAACTATGCGTATAAAATGGTATTGCCAAGTCCTCTTACTTTAGGGACAAACCAGTATTCATTTTGCATATGCTCAGCTACACAGAAGTGAGACTTCTGTCTTTGGAATGACATTAGCAGATTACATGTAATGGTGTCAGTAAAATGTTTTAATAATTATTCAGTAAAAAAAAATAGGTCTCTCCATCTCTGAGGAAGGCAGGTTTTTAGTTGGCAGACTTTATTTCAAACGCTTTCCCAACAGTTTTCACGACCTAAACGATCCCTTCAGAACATGTAGCAAATTGTTGGACCTCTCTTATCACCATAGGACTGAACCTACACATCTTGCCTCCCTCAAGGTTGTATCCCGTGTAGGCTATGCGTCTTATTTCCAACGTACACTCCCGAGTTGCAGGATGCGACAGATGGACTCCAGGACGGGCCCCATAAAGTGTTGGCAGAATTGCACCTCGGGGATTCCTTCTTCACCCAGCTACGTGCAAAGTTTCAGCCTGGGCTTGAAGCCGCGCCGTAACCCTCTCAGCCAGGGGGCAACTCTGTGGTTAACGCAAAGGCCCAGGACACATTTTAAAGCGACAGGCAACGGGAAACGTAGGACGACGTTTCCAGCCCTTATTTTAAACAAAGAAGTGGGGGCGGGGAAGAGGCGGCCTCCCGCCCGGGTCCTCTCTCTCAGACCTGGGCTCACCGCAACCCCAGGCAGGCAGTCGCGAGCGCCCGGGGCGCCTCCGGCCCAGCTCGGGGTGGTCCGGGCCGGGACCCGCCCATCGCCTCACCTGCGGACCGCGAAGGGCGCAGCTTGCGCCCGCCTCGCCGCGGGCCCCGAGTCAGCCGGTAGATGCAGTAGCAGGCGCCGGCGCCGAGCACCAGCCCCGCCGCCACCCAGCCCGCGTCCCGCGCGCCGCCCATGCCGCCGCCGAGCCGCACACAGCGGGGGAGCCGGGGGCGACCACACGCAGGTGCAGCGGGGCCGGAACCGGCCCAGGCCCCGAGAGGAAACGGGGTTCAGCTCCGCCTTCCGGAAGCCGCCCTGCTAACGTCGGAAGCCCTGTCCCACCCCCTCCGCGCACTGCGTCACCGGGAGGGCGGGACGGGATCGCCGGAGCCGACGCGCACTCGGAGCCCCAGGGCAGCTTCTTCCCGGCCCCGGCCCGCCCCGCCGAGTCGGCCTCTAGCCCCGCCCCGCCCCGCCCCCGCCCAGTCACGCCCCGCCCCCTCCGACTCTGCCCCGCCCCCGGGCTCCGGAGAGGCGGGGACCGCTCGGTTCCGCCCCGTGGTTGCCAGGCGACTCCCCGACGCGGCCGGCCTGGGAGGCGTTGACACAAGCGGCCCGCAGAGCGCAGCTTCTCGGTCCAGCCCCTGGCCATGGCTTCGCTACGCTGCGCCAACCCCAAGCTGAGGAACTACTTCAAGGACAACTACATCCCTCAGATCTGTGAGGTACCGGAGCCACGCACAGGGCGGGGCGGGGGGGAGGCCGCCGCCCCTGCAGCGGGGAAGCCGCGGGACCGCAGAGGCTGAAGCCGAACGCGGGCGACTCGAGGGGAGGGGAAGGTTCCAGAGCACCGGAGGGCGACGGCGGCTCCAGCAGGCGTGGGGAGGAGGAAGTCACTCTCCGCAGGGAGAGCGAGAGCGGGGCGCTGGCTGGAGGTCAAGGCTGCGGGTTTGGAAGTTCATCCCTAGCCCTAAGTGAGCACAGGTTACTTCCTGTCTTTATCAGGATACCGTTTGGAAAAACATATTTTCCCTGTGTGGTCAGGTACCCTTCGGGCAGTGAGAACAGATTAGAGAGTCCTTCTCTGACTCCCCAGTTAGGAGGGACAGCATGGTGGTGACTCCAGGGTCGTATTCTCCTGGAGGTAGGGGCTGAGAACGTTCTGGTGACTTTGTTTTGTCTGTGAGTAGTCGGGGTGTTTTGTAGGTGGTCCAGTAGGAGTTGCAGCCTGACAGCATCTTGGGGGCAGGGAGAGCTCTAGGGGACAGGAGAGGAGAGCCATCCAACTTCCAGAGCAGTTTGGTTCAGGACTTCCTTTTAGGGTGGCAGTTTTGAAGTATTTACTAACATACCTAAATGTGTTAACTATGTTAACATACCTAGATATGTTAAATAAGGATTTGCCTCATAATTTTATCCCCAGAAGCCCTCCCGGTACCTCTGCTCGCACAGTGATAGCAGGCGCAGGGGAAGTCCTGGGCCCCACCCATTCACGTCCCTGGGAGACCATTCTGCCAGCTCTCTGCATTTATATGTCTATCCGGTTCAATTTTCCAGGGCTTTCTTCTAAAAGCAAATATGCATAACACATAACCTTTTATCGCAGACCTCTTCCGATGTCACCTGTGTATTCTAAGGAAATCCTAGTTGTTCACCTACAATACCATCTCTCTACAAACTTATTTACATTCCGAATAAAGGAAAACCAGAACCAAAGACCTAATCCTGTCAGTGGTAGATGTAGATCCACCTGCTAGGGGACTGGGGCCGAGGGTTCCTTGAGGCCACAAATGATAATGGTAAGACTCAAAAAAGAAAAAAAAAACAACAAACAAAACAAAAACCTGCCTGGTATACTAGCCTTTTTGAATCTGCTGAGTGATATTAGTTTTCATTGGTTTTGCGGCCAATCACTTAAATATATTATTATTTCTACCCGATATTCTCTTCTTCTATAGGAATTTAATCATGAATATAACGAAAATTTACCTTTTCCCTCTATTTTCTTTGTCCTGTTTAACTGTTTTTTCTTCTGGGTGCAAATTTGGATCTTTTTCACCGATTAATTTGATATGGCTTGTTAACTTTACTAATTTTGTTTTATGGTGTATTCCATCCCATCTGTTGAACACATTAAATTAAATCTTAATTGCGCACAATATATTTTTCAGTCCTGGAATGCCCATTATTCCTTTCAATGCATCCCACTTTTTAAAATTATGAAAATATCTTTTCATTTGTTTTGCTGCCATTTCCTGTTTTCTTTAACATGTTAATGGTTATTTTATAAAATCATTATCTGGAGTTGAGCCATGGTGGTGCATGCCTTAAATTCTAGCACTCAGGAGGCAGAGACAGGTGGATCTCTGTGAGTTCAAGGCCAGCCTGGTCTACAGAATGAGTTTCAGGACAAGCTCCAAAGCTACAGAAAAACCCTGTCTAGAAAAACCAAAAAACCAAAAATCATTATCTGGAAAGCTGATGGCACATGTCTGTAATTCTAGGACTCAGGAAGGTAGGACAGGAGGATTGCTTTTAGGCTTGTCTGAACTATATTGACTTCAAGGCAAGCCTAGGACACTTAGCGAAAGAGACAAAGACAAAAAGAAGCACAGATTCTTTCAACATCTGGATCATTTTGGGGTCTGTGTAGTTTCATTTCTTCCGTTGATGATCACATTCCTCACCTCTGTACATATTGAGTGATTTGTTTTGTTGGAAATCAAGTAAAAGGGGGCAGTAGATTTTCTACACACTACATTCTTTCACTTCAGAGGGTCCCCTTTCTTTCTATAGCATGCCGAGGTCACTCAGTCTAGGCAGATGAAGCTGGCTTGCTGCCAGCTAGCCTGCAGCCCCTCTTTCCGTGACACACCCCACCCCTTGAAAATCCTCCAGAGGTCGTTGCACTGGCCCCTTCATGAACCCTAGACCCAGACCTTCTTGTTAGTGAGCAAATGGCCACGTTTGGGCACCTTATGCTTTCAGCCCAGGGCGCCACCAAAAGCTGGCTGGTTTCCCTTTTTACTGCTGGTGGAGCATCCCGTGCCTGGACACAGCCCGGCTCTCACTCTGTACCCAGAGCCGGGAAAGAGTGCCGAGTGCTGGCAGATGAGTGAAGATCGTTGCTTCTGTGGAATCTCACTACTCTCCAATGTCTTAGCTGTATTTGTGCTAGGATGCACACACACGCAACTTCAGTAACTTACTCAGATGCTCTCCCGAAAGCATGCACACACGCAGTGAATAAGTGAGCCAGTGAATACATAAATAAATGTCGAAAGCATAAAAATTAAAGGTCATGTAATTCTGTCAAGAAATAATCTCTTTGGTCTGTCTCTCTTTCTCAGTTCATGTTTGCAGCAAGCTAGCCTTTCTCATCATTAGAATCTAATGAGATGCTCTTACCATCTAGGTATGTTGTCTACACGAAAGATATGAACGTAAAATAGAGTAATAACTTAAAAAAAAGACCTACCTGCAACTGAGTATTTAAAAATATTTTTGGCGTTCGTTTATGTATGAGGGGTGGCGCATGCATGCCATGGTGCATGGGTGAAACTCCAAATTAAAAAAAAATATGTATATATACCTCAACACCTAGGGTTGTCCCTACGAGGAATTGTAGGAAACATGAATACTTGTGATTTCTTCTGATTCACTATAGTCATTTCTTCCCTCAGGACGAAGACACTGTCAGTATCTCACTGTCTGTCCTTTGGAGGCATTCCTGAAAGGCACTTATATCTTTAAGCAAATTACTAAAACATTAAAATAGGAGCCCATGCATATTTCTCACTTTCTACTTGGTAGAACTAGGCTTGTTGACTACTGACAAACAGGCCTGTCCAGAGAGACCAAAGATGAGCTGTTTGTTATGACTAAAGTGTCTAAAAAATTATTACATAAATAAATATAGCAATTGTATCAGAGTAAGAAACTACATTTCAAATTGTGAGGTTGGATTTCAGCTAGGAAAATGATAGGAGTATGCACAGCTTGCTCTTCCCAGCAGAGGGCGAGCTTCTGTAACAAATCATGACTAAATTGGATTTTTCTTTTTTTTTTAAATAAAGTTTTTATGGCTTATATTTCTCTCAACATTCAATGGTCAGTTTGCACTTGGAAAAACACATTTATTTATAAGCCACATGGATCCTGTTATTGGGTGTTTGTTTTAAGGTGAGATACCTTCTGAGGTTCAAAGGAGAGGGGTAGTGGTTTGTACTTTCTTTCAAGCTACTTGAGAGCTTAAGAAAGAAAACCACTTGAGCCCAGGAGACCAGCCTGGGGAACAGCAAAACCTTGCCTTGGGACAAGGAATAAACATTCTCCAGAAATAAAAGAATCAGGAATTTTAATGTGGTGAGGGACAGCTTGCCGATTTGGGAGAGGAGGGTCTGCCTCACTAACTTAGTTTGCTGGACCTTTGAGTAAAAAGTTTATAGCTTCTTGTGTGGTGAGTTCCTCATCCCAGTCATCCAGTTCACAGATGTCGTCCTGAGGGGAGTCCACACTAAAGATACAAAATGCTGCCAACTCATTATTGCTGCAGTAGTTATTTTACCTAGGGATTGGACCCATGTGACAATCATATTCAAATGGTGTCTGTGTCTCGTGTCCCTGAGGCTGCTGCTTCTGCTGGTGTAGTCTTTGTAAAGCTGTCCAGTCTGAGCTGGGTGTGGTGGTATTCTTGTAGTCCAGCTCCTTGGGAGACCGAGGCAGGAGGTTTGCTTGATCCTATAAGTTTCAGACCAGCTGGATAACATAGTCAGACTCTGGCTCAAATAGAACCCCTCATTCTGGACCCAAGGGGTGTTATTTACTCCCCAGTTTCCTTCTGCATAGCCAAGGCAGTTGGTTCCCTTTAAAAGTCTTGGAGCACTTCCATTTACAAAGCTTCTAAAATTAAAATTTTTCTTTTTCTTTTTCAAGACAGGGGTTCTCTATATTGCTTTGGAGCCTGTCCTGGGAACTTGCTCTGTAAACTAGACTGGCCTTGAACTCACAGAGATCCGCCTGCCTCTGCCTCCCAAGTGCTGGGATTAAAGGCGTGCGCCACCAATGCCCCGGCAAAGCTTCTAAAGTGAAAAAGTGGTGTTGTCTGTTTAAATGTTGGTAAGACGTAGCTGATTTCTTTTCAAATGTTCATTATTGAACTATGAAATGAAATGTATCCTGAAGCAATGTTATAGTAACCCCATGTCCATCTCAGGTGTGGGGGTCTCACTTTGGCTTGATTCATGGGGCTTGGGAAAGGGGTAGGAAAAGCTTTGTTTGGTTGGTTTTTTCCACAGTAAAGGCTTTTCTGGAACTGATTCTCACATGACACTTTTTCTTTTTAAATCAACTTCCTTTTTTTCCTTTTCAAAGGATGTAGACATATGCACTGTTTGTTCTATTGCCTGTTTAAAAGATATATTTCTGTGTTTATATACGGACAAAAACATTTACAAATAGATATGAGCTCTCCTGATGACAGCCAGTTGTGCATTCTTTTGTGTGAGTTCATGATGTGGGCAGGGAGCACAAGGACAAGGGTTTCATATCAATGGCTCTGGTTTGAATGTGTCCCCAAAGGCTCGTGTGTTGGAGTGTCAGCTCCCGGTGCAGCAGTGTGAGAGGCAGTGGGGCTTGTCCCAGCGCTGTGGTCGTGGACCATCAGCTTAAGCCGTGGAATGAGTGAGCTATCACAGGACGAGTTGTTATGCAGCAAATTCAGCTT